GTCCTATTCTTGGGCCGATAAAGTTAGAATAAAACATTTATATATATTTATAATTATTTCTAATATTCTAATTATTCTAATATATGATTTTGGCACTTCTTCAGGCTTAAAGCACGACTTTACTCTCTCGTTCAAGCAATAATATTAAAACATTCATTGTTTCTTAATACGTTCAAAAGAAACACATAAATGTAATTGAAAATATATTTATGTGATTAAAAGACACATAAGTGTTTTTGTGCCTTGAATCTCATTCACTATTTTTATGTTATTCATTACTCTATTCTATATTAATCATTTACATACAATATAATCAATAATATTAAAATATTCATTATTTTTTAATTCGTTCAACAGAAACAGGATCTGTTGTTTAGTACTAATACATTTATGTATGTAATTTGCATTTACATTAGTCATTCTTTTGTTTCATATCACTCACTCTGTTACATAATAAAGTTTTTTTAGTGCTTGATTCTATTTATGAGCTTTATTTGTTCCATCAATATTGATGAAGACAGTCACTCTTTCTTATTCCTTGAAGACGTAGAGTCTATTTATTATTTAGTACTTACGAATTTATAAATGCATAACTGGTTTTGAAATTTCAATTCATATTAATCATTTGTCCATTTCATATTATTTGTTCAATTATATGGGATAATTGTCCAATGATTGTGTTAATGATTTTTATTTGTTCAATAAATACTGTTTCTCGTTTCTGAGATGATCACGTTTCCTCCATTCTCTATTCTCTTATTCACTAATGTTTGCATTCATTAGTTTTATATGTTCAATAAATACTGAGTAATGTTTGAGAGAATCTATTCTTATCTATTCCTTGAAGAGGCGAGATCTATTATTTATAATTCTGCAATTTGCATTTTCATTATTCATTCTTTTACTTTAAATTAATTATCCAGTTACATGATACAATCCATTAATGATTGAGTTTATGATCTTTAGCCCTGATAGAATGAATGCGAATTTCTCAAAACATAATGATAATTAATTCATTGGGTTCGTTCATCAAATATAAACTTCAATAAAAATTAGAATATCTTTCAATGAAATTCTCAGTAGAATTCGTTATTATTCATTCAATTTGTGTACATACACTTCGTGTCTAGTTTCAGTTGGTATTAATATATCTCGTTGTTGGAAGTAAAAGAGGTCGACGATAATCAGTAATACTGATAAGACGTAAGAGGGCCTCATTTATTATACATTATAACAACATTTGCATTAATCATATTACTAGACTATTATAGATATACGA